GACCTCAGGACATTATCGTGGTCACGTATCGACGCGGGTGGGAATGTCTTCAGTCAAGGAAGCTGGAATCGCGGTGTGCTCTGGAACCGGCGGAACACCTTTGTGATCCTCGGCAACAGAAAGCGTAGCCTAGTCGATGACTACAATCACCGACGCCTTAATTTCTCCAACGTCTGCATGGTCGAGCTAGAGGCTTTTGGTTTCTACGACAACCCGAGAAGGACGTCGCCCATGTCCGGCTTCGTCTCTTCGAGCAGCCCTTGTACGGGCCCTGGCCTCAACCTTGCCCGGAAAACAGGCTGGACAGCCGGAGGGCGATCTCATTCTCGGGCGGCAGAGGAGCTGGGAGAAAAAGCGCTGGCTATGCGAGAGTTGGCGGATATGGACATCCTCTGCCTGCATGGCGAGAGAATCCCGGTGAACTCGAGGATTGTGGCTAGACGCTGGGGCCCTTACTTCGTGCAGCTCCTTCGCGAAGGCGCGGCGACACAAGATGGCAGCGATGCCGTAACCCTCCGCAGCGCGTTCAGGAATTCGGGCCTGACGATCACGCCTTCGTCCCGGAGTGCTGCCGAAACCAACAGCCTCTCCATGGGGAGCAACGGGGCGTCCTTCATAAGCTCGACCGGGCAGCCACTGAGCACCGCTCCGTCCAGCGTCTCAGGACGGCCCTTCTCCCCGTCAGCCGGGACCGATGCTCTTAACGTCAACCGGACACCGACCCCTCAATCCTTGCCGCCCAGTTCGCGACCTCGATGCCTTTACCTTCCTCATACGTATCTTACCATACAGGCGCTCCTTCACTTCCTCTACACGTCATCGCTGCCCCCACCCTCGTCGTCATTATGCACCCCTCCTATCCTCTGCTCTTTGCTGCAAATAGCGCGGCCGTATCGGATCGACGGCTTGCTCGAAGCCGTGGTCGAACGACTCCACGTCCTCCTCGATTCTCGGAACGCCGCGGCCGTATTCAACGCTACGGCCATGGCTGCCGGTGGCGGACGCGGCATCGATGGTTCCCTCAATCCCAACTTCTTCGTCTCGGCTCCCGATTACGTCGACGCGTCCGAAGCTGGGCCGGGCGACGCAAACGGCGGCGCCGGAAGTGGCTCGGACGCCGGAGGCCTGCGCCTGAACACGGCCCTGCAGTCTAGCCGGCCGAGCAGGGAAGAGCTCAGCGCGACGACGAGTGCGAGCGGCTCCGAGTGGGGCTCCGAGGTCAGCGACTCGGAGGGAGGCGTGCGCGAGATTTGGAGCGGCGAGCTCAGCGCGGTGATCGGCCTGCAGAAGCGGGGTCTGCGGGGCTTGATGGAGGGCAGGAGGATGCGCGAGCGGACCGGGACCAACACGGGAGCTGGAGCCTACGGTGGCGCTGGCGGCCCATCTCGGGTCGGTCTGGGGATCGGTGGTTCTTCCTAGCATGTCGTCGTATGACGAGGGCGCTGTTGCATAGCTATATGTGGCTACCCCCAGCCGATAGGCAGATAGGTCAGCTCTTGCAAGCAAAGACCGTATAGAGAAGCTGGGGCATGAGGTTGTGGGGCTAGGTTAATGAGTAATGAACGACGTGAACCGAGCATTGGATTCCTTTTCCATGTACATTTTTGTTCAATCGAGGTTCATATATGATGATGATGTGGAGACCCAGACGAGCGGATATCAACCGAGAGGTGATGGCGCTGGAAACTGCAATGGTTCGAAGACGAATGAAGACATAGGAGGGAGTCGGGTGCCGGATATGCCACGTCACGGAAGGTTTGAATGATGGGCGGCTTTCGGATCAATAGATGTCATCTCTGAAGGCTTTAGTTGTCTTCAAAGGTCTAAGACAGAGTTCGTGAAGCGAGGAATCATGAGAGTAGGGGTTCGCTGCTACTGAACAGGTAAATCTGAATACCAATCCACACCTAGCGAGAACAGAGTAAAGAAGAAGGCGCTGACTATATGAAGACGTTCCAGTTGACCCAAAATCAAAATGTCAATCCGCTTGAAAGAAGAAAAGAAAGGAAAAAAAAGGTGAAGGTGAAGAAGAAGAAGAAGCAAAATGGCAAGATTATGGAGCCAACTGCGTCCCGTCTTTTCTGCCCTCTCTTCCTCCCATGACTTACTTACGCATGGCGGAAAAGGGACAACCGCCCAAATCCCGGCCCGCCATGTTCGCGACATCGCGCGCCATCTCCTCGGTGCCCTTGCCCAGCTTGTTGAGGGGCCCGATGTCTTCGGGGAGATACCCTTCGGGGAACATGCCGTCCGAGTCGCCCGGGGCGACACCGCCGAGAAGGCGGGTGATCCAGCTCGTGGGGCCATAGCGGGACCACAGCGTGACGGGGATGTAGTAAGGGTGGACGAGGTATTGGTAGTGGTGGACGCGGCCGGTCTTGGGATCCTCGGAGGAGAAGAAGGATTTGGGGACGAAGCGGGGGAGGCAGAGGTGGCGGAGGGTGAAGCGGCGTAGGAGGAGGGCGTTGTAGGCGACGGCGGAGGCAAGGACGGAGGGTTCGGGGAAGCTAGAAGTGAGGTGTCGGGTTTAGCCGGGCAAGGCTGGGGACTAAGGGGAGGAAAGGCAAGAAAAGCGGAATAACAAGGACGAGAGAAGGGAGAAAGGGAGAAACAAGAGGAAGAAAAAAAAAAAGGTCCCGCGTACAGAAAAGCATCACGAACACGATCGCCCATCAGGGTATAGAAGACCTCCTCGGCGAAAGGCTTGGCGAAACGGGGGACGTGCCAGATCATCATCTTGAGCAGCTGGCGGCTAGGCTGAACGTTGGAGTCGGCGGGTTTCATGACGTCGGTCTCGTACGACTTGGCCCAGGCGGCGATGTCCTCCACGAACTCGATGCCGTCGCGCCAGGCGCCGGCGCCGGCGAGGTGGCCATGGTACTCGATTTCCATGGCGTCGCCGATGGACTTCCAGAACGTGCCGAGGGCGCAGACCTCCATGTCGGTGAGGGGGCGCCACTCGTACAGACGGATGAAACGGATGGGTTCGAGGACGGCGACAGCGAGGGTGTAGAGGAAGTCCTCGTTGGAGATGCGGCCGGCGGCTTTGTATGGGCTGTGGAGGTAGTTCATGCGAGCTATGGCGTTCAGGGCTCGCTTGGATGAAGGCGGGAAGAGAGAGAATCTGGGAGGTTGCGTTACTCGTCGTCCCGGGCAAAGAGTCGGGGAAGAGCGGCAGGGTGGGTTTCTATCATGATCCATGATTTATGAAGAATGGAGAATGACGTAGGTGAGGCGGTCATAATCATTATACTCACTCTCCGAAGATGATTACGGTGTCTTCATATCTGAGAGGGCACCATCAAGGGGCCAGTTAGACTACTGTGAGCATGCTGGTGGTTTGACATTAATAGGCGGATAGGATAAAGTGGTAAGGTTACCTCTTGAAAGAATGAACCGGGTCGGCGAGGTTCTTGGTAGCCATGATGAGTTTTGATATCGACCCGATGCCATAAGTCTAGGAAGTCCACATAGTGTTTAGTGAAGTCAACATGGTGGATCTGCGCAGAGTGGGAGATGGTGATGGTCGTTGATGAGTGACCCTGACTGGATCGAAGCAAAAGGGGAAGATCGGTAGGCCATCGAAGTAGCTAACCAAGGAAGCAGGGAAGCAGGGTTGAAGCAGGGTTGAAGCAGGTAGGCTTCATACTTTGAAGAGGGCAAACTGAAGTGCGAGTTCATAGAACATTGGAAACTCTCGTTCGATGATATACCGGACGATGATCTGAGCCTCATCGTTGGTCATGCGTTTCAACGAGGCCCGATCGGTGAAACCCATCCGCCTCTGAAGGTTCTTGATGCCGCGAAAGCGGAGGGCGGCGCAAAGAGCGAGGTAGCCCAGAACAGCGCATGTCAGGATGGGTATCGTCGCCGCACGAAGATGGAACAGGGACAGTGGTAGGAGAGACATATTTGGACACTTGCAGTTCGAAAGGCGCAAAGAGATATGTCAGATGGAATGGACAAACGGGTTGGGAGTAAAGGACATTCAAATGGTATGACTTTGTTTGGGGTGAGAGTCGGTGAGGCGGGTGAAGACAAGACACCAGGATCAGGAGTTCTACTGCTGAAGGCTGCTGTGACAAGCGACGTTGTACTACGGAGTACTTATGGTAATTAATAGGTACTGCCTGGAACAATGGATTATTAAGGTAGGACAAGAGGAATCACGGGCACAGATGAGGTACGAGGGCACGTGAGTTTCTAGGGTAAGGTAATTTACCTTAAACAAAAGTTCAAAACTCGGTGTCATTGAGAGTACTGAAAGGTATCTTTCGATACCTAAACGGAAGAGTACATGTGTTTTCCAAGCACCATTGGGAGCAAACAACACCGACAACTTCTGTCCGACGTTGATGTCGTGATCGCTATCCTCAGGGGTACGTACCTAAATGGGTACTGTCTTCTGACAGCTACTTGAAGGTACACTTGGATACTTGCTTTGGACCAGTAGCTGTCTTACCTGCGAAAGATGTCATTGGAGCGCATTCATCGACTGCCCCAACCTATGCATGAAGTACCTACGATGTAAGCTGACCGGCTGGATAAGACTTCAGATGAGGAGGGATACGGTACTTCCATATGGAGAAGAAACAGGCGGGAAAGAGCCGAGGAGAGGAGGCAATGGGACCCCTAAGATTCGGTTATCATTGATCTACCATGAACCATTTGACTGCAGAGTAGAACAGTTGTTGTCAATAGATAGATTGTATATTTGATGATTCTTCCCGCGCAGGCAGTGTGATTCGATGTAACTTGGACTGACAATCGACCTGCCAATACTGGTGAACTGACAGGAACGCTTCCCAATTACTTCGTAAGGTGTGATACCTACGATGGACGGATTGGTGCTCACAATAAGATTCTACCTAAGGTACCTTAGTTGCCCAAGACGGTTGATTTGCTCGTGTAATAAGGTAGCCAGCAAAGTACGGATACATAATTATACAGTACGCACCAGGTCCATTTACCTGCCCCGTAGACTGGGATGCAACAAACTTCTTAGAATAGAAGATATATGAAAAATGTGTCGTCTTGTCGAGTCCGAACGACACAGGCCTTCTATGCCGCGATTCTCCAATGCTTTCACGGATTTGATCGAAAGTACGGAGATGAAATAAGGTAGTTACGATGGATGGATAAGAATAAGTTCGCCGCATCCTCATGTACATGTATCTCTAAACGCCCTATACTCCCCTTCTTGACCCCAACTCATGGCATCCGAGACGCCAGTCCGTATTGGGACTAGCATTTGGGCCCGCCCTCTGACCCAGCCACTCAGGAGACCACTTTCCAACGGCTGCCCCAGGCGCGCGTCTAACCACCACAAATTAGTTACGACAAATTTCCACAATCCCACCAACGGGCGCCAACAGTGAACGTCAGTCAACACTCAATTCTCCTCTGTTCTTCTATCTGGCGAGCATCGACGCAGCGTTCATACGGCGATTGTATTAACCGCTTGCCATTCTTCTTAGGAATCAACTGTGCTGTCGATCAAAACAAAGTCCCCCTCGGCAAAGTAGCGATTCGTATTTCGCACATATCCCTCGTCTCGGTCTCTTCTGTCTCCCAGCTACCTTACATGAACGTCCCGCTTCGCGATTCTGCGAGAACGGACTGCCGCGATGGGCACCTTCTACCAAGCTGGTTATATGTATCGATGATATACGGAGACGGGCGGCAATTCTACCCATACTACCTAGTCCCCTGTCATGTCAAAAGGCTGCCGTAGCTGGTCTCTCTTGACAGCAGACCACTTTTCGTGGCCCAACCCTAGATCTATGCCCTCTTGTACGATCCCTGGTGTTTATGTTATGCCAAAGTCCCACAGCCCAACTTCCATCCCATCCTTACCTCTCCCCACACTCCACAGAAGAAGAAGAAAAGGTCCTTTCGTGGCCCCTGGCAGGGGGTTTATTGCGACCCTATATCCTCAACTGTGGTACATCGCACAGCTCTGCCCACTATGCCCAGGGACCATGCCGACTGCCGCGGGCCTCTCCGGCGGCTACACAGACCGAATGGGCCGCCCAGATATTTTTGGAGGTCTCCTTCTTTGGCCCCAGATGTCACTCTAGCCCACGCGAATTCTCGTGGGGTGCTATGCTATCATGGAGACATGGGGACTCCGTCATTGTGGACGGCACGGCCCAATAACGGACCCGGTAGCCGCCTTCCACACCCGGCCGTTTCTACGCGCCCAACCTCAAACAGCCGCTCATCCAGACGTCTCGTCCGACCAATGTCCATCTTGCCTCGTCCGGCTGTTAGCACTTTCGGATACACAAGGCTGGTTTCATGCTATTTCTACTGCTTCTCTCATTTCCCGTGTCACCCAGATTGCTCGTTTCAGGATCCTCCGTATGCTTCAGTATCAGACTTGCAGCTAGCTCGCAGATGACAGCGACAGCCGCGCTTCCGTGCTCGTTCGTCTCGGGGGCTTGGTCTCGTCGAGCATCACGGCTCTCTGCCTTATATCAACTCGGACTTGTCCGTCTCGAGAATCTCGTCTGGTCTCTTTCCCATTAACTCAAGATACTACTCTGTACTGAAACGTCTAGCTTGACTGTTTCTATTTTCTTTTCTTTTTCCTTTTCTTTTCCTTTCTATTTTCCTTCTTCTCTTGTTTTCCTGTCTCTCTGTTGGGTCAATTTCCTTGCCGTTTGGTGGTTATTTTCTTTCCCCTCTCTATTCGCACCAAGACTACCCGCTCTCTGCTCGCTCTGGTGCTGGGTCCTATTCGTTGCCCCTATCTCCCTGTCCTCTACTTAGAACCCGTTCGTCTCCTTTTTCTTATTACTCTCTTTGCAGAACTCCTCCTGGCGAGGGTTACTGGAAAGACCTGTTCGATTCCGAGACACCACGGCTCTCTTTTCTTAATCGATAATCCCTAAGGCTCTACTACACGGGGCTCAACACACGAGGACGGCTGCCAAAGAACTGAATCATGCCGAAACATACTCGATCATCTAGTTCGAACCATAACCATAACCGCTACAGCAACTCTTTGTCCATGTCCCTCGCTCCCGCTGCCAACCCCACTCCCGACATGTACAGCCAGCGCCTGTCCATACCGGACTACTACTCTGTCCCCTCCTCCTCCGCATCGGCGCCGTCTCACGCCCAGCCTGCTACCTTCGACACCTACACCACTGTGCCCCCCGTGTCTGCTCCGCCCGTCCAACACCGCGCCTCCTCGGGAGCTTGGACTGCTCATGACGACCAGAGGCTTCTCCAGGCTCGTGCTCAGGGCCTCAACTGGGCGCAAATCCAGGCCACCTACTTCAGCAACAAGACTCCGAATGCTTGTCGCAAGCGTCACGAGCGGCTCATGGAGCGCAAGGGCGCCGACGACTGGGACAACCGCAAACTCGAGCTTATCGCCAAGGAGTACATGAGCATGCGAAAGGAGATCTGGTCGGGCTTGGCCGCTCGTACCGGCGAGAAGTGGAATGTCGTCGAGGCCAAGGTACGTGCCGTCCCAAACAAATCCCCCCC